CCAATTGGGAATCATAACAATCAAGTTACGAGTCCTACGAGGTATTACACTCATCATTTGGACCATTTTTGGCTGCGCTATGGCCCAAAAACTGATTTTTTGTGCCCAAAATCACGTATACGTCGGTTGACAGTAGAGAGCTCGGCTTTTTTGCCGTTTCTTAGCTCTAACTTTGTCAAAACAAGACGCACTGCTAAAACATTGACTGTTCTATGCAGCTTACTTCCGAAACTTAACAGCCCTATACTTACTTTTTGCGTTATTGGTCTGGTTCGCTGCTGCGAAGGCTGATTTAATAGCCAAAAAAGCAGGAAGTCTATTTTTAACAGAAATTTGCAAAACTATGTTCGGGTTTTTAGCTCTAGCTCGGTCAAAACAAGACGTACAGCCAAAAGAACGACCGTTTTCTGCTGCTAACGACCAACACTATCCACCCCTATCACTCGTTTTTCGATTTTGGGAAAATCAATTTTGGCCCAAATTTCGCATTTTTGATAAGGGGTACCATCATCAAAATTTTCAAAAATGGGCCCAAAATGAAGTTTCCCAGATTTGCATGAAAACCAATTGGGAATCATAACAATCAAGTTACGAGTCCTACGAGGTATTGCACACCTCATTTGGACCATTTTTGGCTTAGATATGGGCATAATACTGTCATTTTGAGAGGAAAATCAGTGTAAGTCGGGAATTTAGGATTTTTTGATAATTTCTCATATATTTTTCTCTGTGTACGAACGAGGGGGGCGAGAACAGAAGGTGCCATTCTGCGTGGCGGCTTGTGGTCGCCGCTTTTGAAATAAAGGAATGGTGCGGGAATGAGGACGGGGGAAGGTCCTTGGCCGCCATGGCGAGTTACACAATAAAAAGGCCAATTTCTGTGGCGGCGGCAGTGCAGCTGGGCCGTTTTGTCTAAGCCAACATGAAAATTTGCTTGAACTTTGCCATTAACAAACAGCCGGCGGGAAAAAGCCAAAGTCGAAGCCAAATGCTTGGGACAACATCCTTCTTACCCTCCAGTTTCCCTGCCCTCCCTCCTCCTATTCTGCAGCCGATAATACAATGTATAATTTTTGCTTTTCTTCAGTATCCTTTACGTGTCCTGCCATTTACAAGAGGAGTACATTGAGTTTTAAGGCTAATTCAAAAATATAAACATAGTTTTAAATAATATTTTGGATTGTTAAGAATTTAATAAATCATTTACTTAACTCTTCTAGAATTTTACAAGGAAAATATTTAAAAAAGGATTTCCTTCCTTAGAAAAGGTATTTTGGAAGTCGTTAATGCTTACTTAAATACACTTCCTTGTTTTCCAGCCTGGTTTTTTTCACTTTACGCCGAGGGCATTCAATTAAGCGGCTCGTTGGGCCCGTGCCCCATTACACTTAACCCCCCCTATAGAACCCTCGTCACCCCCTCTCAATGTTGCCAAAAAGTCGCCCGGAGCGGTCAGCTATTAGTTTGGTACATTGTACCCGCGACTATAACAAATGCTGATGCCTGATGGCCGATTGCTGCTGTACCTAATTAAATGCAGCGCCCAAAACTTTGTAATTGCTTGCACGCAAGATGGCGCCACCGGGTATTTCATGGGTTAAGGAATTGTAGGAGTGAGTGGGCTTCGTTTTAGTTTGGCTGTCCACGATGCTCTATAAAGTGGAAACCCGTGTCATCGATAGTAGGTATCACCTCATTTGGCTATCCAGACAGATCGCGGATTGCCAGATAATGGAAACTGGATTGTGGTCAGCCATTTGGCCGGCTGATAGGCGGTGATGGATGGATTGCATTTGTCGGGAAACTTATTGATTAAATGCATGAAACACTTTACCAGAATGGGAATTGATTGCCAACCGCATGCTATTTAAAATCTACTCCATCAGGGATTTCAATTATAAATGAAAGTTAAATAAATAATAATAAAGGAAAATTAAAAAGTTACAAGGAAAGTTCTTTAAAAAAATTATATATAATATAAAAATTAGTTTATATTTTAGTCGTTTCATTTATATCTAAGTTTAATGTCTCACATTATCTTTGTATTAGTAGAAAATTCTAATTTCGTCTTGGTCTTTCCTTCGGTTTTCCGGTCTACCGCTAATGTCCACTGCGACATGTGGATTTTAGTGTGGCTATATCGCTTTTGTGGCTGACTTGGTTTATTATCATCCTTATTCCCCCGTTTAGGGGTTATTTTTTGTTCTTTTCGTGGGAGTCTCATTCTTGGCATTTGTTAATATCGCTGGCTTAACTAAGTCCCAATGACTTTTATATGATTTTCGGGGGAAAACCCTCCATTCACCCATTTAGTGTTTTGTGTGTGTGTGGGTGTGTGGTGGTTGTACAAGCTTTTCGATTGCCATTACGAAACTGAAATGGTCGTAAAAATACCGCAGCAACTTGTCCTTGTTCTTGTTCTTGCTCATGTCCTTCCACGTCGATGTGGCCACCTCCTTTGATGTTCCTTTGGCAGCCATTCAGCCTCCTTCATCCCCGCCAAGTAATGAAAAGCGCGTTAAACCGCAATGCGTGCCGTTGTCTATGCCACACGCATACATATACGTAGAGAAAGTTACACAGAGGGAATAAGTTAAAGACAAGAATTTCTTAATTGCTTACAAAATAAGAAGAACTTTTTCAGATGTTCTTTTACATTTTTCTGTGTGTAAATACACACATAGAAACCTACCCACGAATACATATATGTGCCATACTGTGGGTTAGCTGCCACGCCCTCTTACATCAGCGAAGTAAATTGCCAGCCGGCATTTAATTTGATCTTTTGTTTGATTGTGTGCGTTTCGCTTTAATTGAATTTTATGATGATGCTGCAACACTCACACGGCATCACAATAGGCTGAACCATGTGAAAGGAATAAACTATGGTAGTTAACCATTTCAAGAATCATATCATAAATAATTGGAGTGATATTGTTTTAAGCTTAATTTACCAATATAAGGTCTTTAAAAACCAATATATATATTATTCTTGAATTTTTAGATAAAATTTGTCAAAACAAGATGCACAGCTAGAAGAATAACTTCCTATTAATCCAAGTAATACTAATGAAATGTAAGGAGACCATCCTTGCGTAGCAGCATTAAAAAAAAGAATATTTTGATCCGCTATATTTTACAGTTTAAATTGAATATTCAAAAAGCTACGCTTTTCCATACCGCAGGAATCAAAAGAAAAAGAAATAAATAAATCTCTATAAAAATTACAATCATTCTGTCAGAATAACTGAATTTAAATGCGAAAAAACAGGATTACGTCTTAATTCAGAAATTTCTATTATTATTTTCTGGTCAAAATGCAGACCTCCTTTTTAGTTAGGATTACAGAATCTAGGTCCACTCTAATCATCTAGCTTACATCTGTATTACATTGTTATACAATATATAAAGCAAAAATTGTGCTAGTTTATCTTTTGGGAAATACTTTTCTGGCCACTGAAATTGAATATGATATTCATATGCCATTACGCGGTGGTTTCAATTTCATTGAATAAAACGGAGGTGGTTTGGCTTTGTTTTGTGCGGTTCCGCTGATTCCAGGCGACCAAACCAAACCGTACGGTATCCAAACCAGCCATCAACATTCACATCAACGTCAACTTTGCCGCAACCGCAGCTGCATCAACAACAAAAGTGTCAACATCCAATAATACATCCGCAGATATGCAACAAAAATTAAAACGCAACAAAAAAAATATAACACAAAAAAAAAATGTGGAAAGCGATTGCGGAACAACTGCTGACTGCTTCAATGACATTGCCGGACATTATGAAATTTTCAACGCGACTGCATTATTAATACAATAAATAATAAATGCGGTACAAAGCGCGAGCGGAGCAACAATAATGACAACCATCCGTGGCAGGACGAAAATGCCGGCAAAAACCAAGAACTCGACCGACCTCATTCATGAATTAAAACATCCTGTCGACGGACAAATGCTCTGATATTAAGACAATTTTATAATTTCATACGAAATAAATATTTTATTGAAATGTAATAATATTGTTTGGAGCAGCATTAACAATATTGATCATTGACTATACTTTGTTTTGATAAAACTTTGTAAACAAATGAGTAAAAGATAACCACTTAGTTTTAAAGCTTTTTCTGCCCGAGCTTTCAATCCACTCTTTTCGCTTACTTATCTTTTATATTCTTCTAGTTTTGTAAGCAGAACGATTGAAATGCCGACGGCTTTTGCGTGGCCTTGGTCGGCAGTGCAGATTTGCTAGGATTTAAAAAACAAACTGAACGAGTTATTACATTCTATATTTGGACCATTTTTGGCTTAGTTATGGACACAATACTGTCGTCTTAAGGAGAAAAATGGGAGTAACAAATTTTCGCATTTTCGATTAGGGGTAACATCGTCTATTTTTGCGAAATATAGCAACAAAATTTCTTTTTTAACTGTAAATGCAGATCTGTTAAGATTTAAAAAACAACAACAACGAGGTATTTCACTTCATATTTGGACCACTCTTGGCTTACTTATCCGCATTTTAACACAGTTAAGATATAGTGTTGTCTGCTGCGAGCTTATTTACATACATATATTGAAATTAACAGAGTAGGTAAACAAAGTAACGGGTGTTTGATAATCGCGGCACTTGACTACAGTGGCTCCAATCCAAGTTTTTGTATGAAAAGTTTTTTTTGTTTTTTAAATTAGTAAAAACTTTTGTTATTATTTTAATAATATGCGACATTCTTAACATTACTGCGTTTAAATTTTTTGATATCTCTGCTAGTTTAGTAGCGGTGTCAAATTTAAACTTTGTTTTATTCTTGCACGAAATAAGCTTGGAGCCACTGTATATCGTTCTCTTTTCTTCCCTTACCTTGCAAAGAAGTTTGACAAAATGAGAGAGCGAAATCAAAACAAAGATCTTTGGAACAGCTGTTTAACCGCAACTCTCTCTCTCTTTGGCGTCCGCTCCACAGCATTCTCTCTTTCCAGTCGTTCAGTTGTCATTCAGTTTTACAGTTGTCATTCTTCGGCAGTCGCTCTGCAAGTTCTGATTAAAATATTAGTTTTGCTTATAAAAAGTGTTAAAAAAAGATTAATAAATGCAAATATAGTGATCGCAAGCCTGCGTTTTGAAGTTTGTTCAATAAACATTCTATAAATTGCAAATTTAGTAGTTTTCCAAGCGAAAATGCAAAAATGTGCTCCGCGGGACAAGTTGAAGTATCTATATGTATGTGTGCGCGTCGTGTGTGTGTAATTTGTAAATTCAAATTTTTGCATGCGGCGGATAGGAAGGCAAGGCAAAAAAGAATGAATAGAAGAAACTTGAAAAATTTGGATAATTCAGGTAAGTGGCTCCTTTTGTTTATTCCCATTGCTTTTTTTTGCTGTTATTATTTAAACTGTAAGAATAATGAAGTAGAAGAAGAAGAATGTGTGTATATTATTGATCATCATAAAAAATATTATCGGAAAGCAAAAAAGCTCTGTAATGGGTATCATAAAGTCGAGGCACTCTAACAAAGGGTGCCTTCTTGTTTATTTATCATTTTTATAAAAATTATTTCCCTCTAATGGAGGGAAAAATAGAATCCACATCTATGTGGACTCTTCACTGGCCAGGGCATGCGTGCTCTTCATCAGATTAAAGGTTACTTTGGTGGGAGTATGATCCTGTTTCTTAAGGGGTTCCCTTATGCGAATACTCCGATCGAAGAACGGACCGTTGGCCAATTTTTTGGTACCCCGAACTGCTGGGTCCACCAGATCTATACGCAGTCGCTTCATAATCTTATCTATCCTCGGTATGCACTTATCCATCGAAGATTTGGTTGTGGACCGTACCAGGTTCTCTGGCTCCAGACAGGCGATAGACAATCGTTTACCAGTCGAGTTCTGCAGACTGATTACCAGATCACGACGACTCAGTTTGGCCAGAAGAACATACTGATTGCCCAGCTCATCGACATAGTTCAGGGTGTATTTGTTTCCATCCCGATTCCATTGATCAGGTAGCAATTCGCTGGCACCACCTCCAGCCACCTGCCTTTCACCAGGTATCTTGGCCTTTGTGGTGCAATGTAAGCGGTACTCCTTGGTGACCAGAAAGTGGATAAGTGCTATCAACAGATCGGATTTCTTGCGAAGATTCCGCTGGATCGAGTGGAAAAGCAACTGCAAGTCATCATAGGACTCGATTTCGTTTTTGCTCTCATCTTTATCTTGGCTTTGACTATGCCCAGCGACTCCAATCCCCAGAGATTGTAGCGACATCTGGCTAAGATCGGATAATGAACTGATCACTGGCTTTTCCATAGCGATTAGATGTAAAGCATCTTTCGGAAAAAGTTCGGTTTTTTTTTCTGGAAATTTTGAACTTAATAACAACATGAAAAGTTTATAAAAGAATGCTTGTTGTTAGTTTACAATTTGGGAATGTTATATTAACAAAAATTTAAAAGAAAAATTGCCAATATTATGAATATAAATTTGATTTATATTTAGTCATATCATCTTAAACCCTTCGATTATCTCCATTAATGTACTTCATGTTTAATTTAATGTACAAATTTAATTTTTTGGCAGCTAATGCAGATTTCTATCGTTTCGCACTACTTTTTATGCATGTTCCTGGAAATTTGTGTTGCAAATGTTGTTAAAATGTTTTATTTACACCGCCTGGCAAATTGCAATTGGCAGTTGATTTTTGTAGGACAGGAGACAGTGTTCGTGTTCATGTCCAGTCAGTCGGTTTTTTGTTTCTTTTCCCTTGTCACTTCTTTTTTTTTTTGTTTGTTTTTATTCAAATTTGCATGCTTAACATAATTCATTTCATTTCTGCTTTTCCGCTTTTTCACTTTTCCACTGCCCCTTTTGTTTGGGATGTCATCGCCGGGCCGTCTGAATTGATGTTGGATTCAATTGGATGCCAGCAGCTTGCCAAGGTCCTTTGTTATGGGACCTTACCCACTCTCTCTATCTGTCTCTGTCTCTTTATATATAAATATATATCGAAATATATGTATATATATATATATATATGTGTGTGTGTGTGGCATGTGGCAGTTACTGGCAATGTTCTTTGGCGGCAATTTGGGGGATTGCTCTCGGTTTGCTTGCGGCTGGCTCAAACGGCTTAAACGATTGCGGCCAAGTCAAGTCGGTCGCTGATATTGGGCGAAAGCGAGTAATAAATGCGCATCGCATCCACAAGCGGAAATAGACAGCGTTGCGGTTGGGTCCCAGGAAATGGGTATCCTGATGGGGTTTCAAATTTAATTCAGTACAACCTGCAAATGCGTAAAGTAAGTTATTTATTACCAGCAAAGGAAATACCCAAATTGAGCTAGACATTTCTAGTAAAATGCCATAAAACAGGCTGAAAGAATGTATTCCTTAAAGGATTTTTTCAAGATTTTTCTGTAATTAAATTATTTATTACACAATCGGTAATATTGATAGGTATTAATTTCGTATAATTCAAAAGTACAACAACCTATAACCCCATAAAAAGAGTATTTAATAATACTTTGTAAATTGAAAAGGGCATGTTTGTTACTCCAAATAAATAGGATAAGGAAATTGAAAGCCCCATGGGGTTTGCCATTTTAATTCATTTTTAGCCTGCAGAGTAAGATATTTATTTCTGGAAAATAAACAAGTTAGACAGCAGCAATCTGCTAAAAGAAAAACAATAATATGTGTCACGAATGTTATTTCATAAATTAAAATAGACATGTTTAATATGCACACGGGCATGCTAACTAAAAAGTCGCCAAACGCCAAATTCCGCAAGAATGAATTTGACTTTGAGCTTAATTTAATTTATGGACCGTATTTTGTATTATTCGATTATTTGATTAAAATGTTGACGGCCATACGATATTTCAAATTGATACCGACAGGCAGCGAAAAGAAAAATAAATGATTTTAAGCAATAAATTCCATTAACTAATTTGGCTGCCAATAATTTGATTTTATTTTGATGCTTTCAAATATCTCTGAAATGATTTCATATTATTAATTTTATGTGATTTTCATTATTATACTAAGAGTGTAAATTTTTTAAATTGTGACACGATTTTATAGTCATAATTCGTTTATTATATTTTAAAACCACATCAATTTCGTGTATTTTGCCATTTATTGAGTGATTCTATTAACATTTTTCCAAAAAGCCAAAATGCAGAAAAATGATTCTCTGAGCATAATTGAATTTGCTATATTTTTAATGACCCCCGTTTGTGCTATTAAAAGTGTGGAGACTCCCACGAAACTTATTTCGGAAATCAATAATGCTAACCGAAAATAGCAAAGACATATAGACGGGTTGGATACCCGTACTCGTATATGCTCGGATAACAACATCACAAACTCCCGGTTAGATGAGTTTGGGAATGGGAATCTGGTGGTAGACAGGAAGAGGATGTAGGAGGTCCTGCCACATCCATGATGCCAATGGTCGCCGCAGAGATTCTGCAGTTGCCTGGCTGACATTTGGTCGCCTGTGCGCGGAAATGGCGTCGTTAAATTGGTTCCGCATCCGGTTGCCATTGCCCCTTTACTCTTTCTGCCCAAAAATAACCCACAGGAGGAAGCGGGGCAGATGAGGATTGGTATCCCGACAAGGACGACGAGGACAGTTGAAGTTTACTGCTATTTGACTGCAGCTCGATGACGCGATGCAACCCCCGAGGCTGCCGTCAAGGAATCCACTTTGCACTTACATTTCCTCCATGGTTTTCGCCATGCCATGCGAATGGAAATGGAAATGGGAGTGGAAATGCGAACGAGAATGCGAATGGAAATGGGATTGCCAGCAGGATTGCTGCAACTCGAAGGATGGCAAACTGGAGACGACGACGGGATTAGGATAATTGTGTCCCCGAAGTGTTGCCTTTAGCTGCCGATTGAGAAGTGATTAACCAAAACGGTAAGCGATTCGTGGCATATCGATGCTAAATATGCAAATGCACAGCAGCGTTCACAGCAATAGGATTTTGTATATTATAAACTTTAGTTCATAAACATTCCAAAGGAATTTTGCTTTAGTTTGTTTTAAATATGTAAATTTAAAGTATTTTGCAACTTTTTTAATAGCTTTTTTAATCGGGTATAAATTTTATCGCAGGGCAGAAATACTTTTGATTTTGTGGCATTCCCGTAGCTGGGATCTTCAGTGCGAATTGATTGAGTTCGATGGCCGGATCAACTTCGCCTGCAGCTCATGTGGCACCTGCATAATTAATGCCCCACACCGGCACACCTGTAGAAATTCAATTAACTTTGACTCGTTTGCCTGTTGCAAAAGGCGGAGGCACGACGATGTACGTCCGTATAACCGTTGAGGCGTCAATGAGCGACCGCAATTGATATAAATTTGAAATTTTGCAGCCTCCTCGCGAGCTTACACACACTCACACAGCTCTTTTTATGGTCGGGCTCTGCCTTTTCTTTTTCTTCCAATAAAACATTTAATTTCCAGCCTAATGGCTGTCATGTGTATGTGTGTCTGTGTGTGTGTGTATCTCTTTTGGTGGAAAGAGGAAGAAGGTCCTGTCTGCGCCGGCTGCACTTAATTCGCTCCTCGAGTTGGCCGTAAAAGGCGTCCATCGACCGAAATGAAATAAAAGTGCGCTTGCAGTGTGTGTAATAAATTTTCCGAGTGCTGTGTTCCCTGTGCCCTTAACGCTTATTCAGACGGGTTAACCGGTTATTCGCTGCACAAAAAAAAAAAAAGGGAGATTTCAAAGATTTCTCAAGCCTTAACAAGTCAGTATAAACTGCACTTAAATTCTACTTAATATTGATATTAATTAATTGGAAACCTACTTTTTTAAGCATATACTTAGACTAACTTAAGTCTTTGCATAAAACATAGCTTATATTTTGGCTATTAAGTTCGTAAAGTATCGTGCATTCTTGAATTTTAGAAAGTTTCGTGGTGTGTGTGGGTGGCGGCGTCTCCTGCCACGCCCCTGGCGTTCAGCAATTTTCAGTTCAGTTGCCACAGTTTTCCAGACTGCCCTTTGCATGCCGCACGCAAAAATTGGTAGGACAAAAAAAAAAAAAAAAAAAAAAAACGAAGACCAGAAAGAAAGAGTAAAAAAGTGAGGAAACCAAGAAGAGCATGCACCCAAAGCTAAAAAGGACGCCTCGCTGGTCAGGAGTCCGGTTGTGGCCAGGAGGAGAAGCAGTGACCAACGACCAGCGACCAACGACCAAAACCAGAACCATAACCAGGAGCTCTGGAATGCCCAAGTTGAGCATACACGCACACGATATCCTCCGTCTGAGCGAATTACGGACACCGGACCACCATTCTGGCCAGCAATCCACTTACGTTGAAACGAAACCGGGCTACGGCTACGGACTTTTGATTAGAGAATTCCACGGCATTTCCGGCAAGTTGACGTACAATAAAATGTGGAATAAGCTATTATTATTATATTATGAAAATTACAAGGAAAACGTCAATTAAAAAACTGCCACTAGTTTATCTAAAATTTAAATAGTTCATTAAAGATATTTTGTATTATCATTTTGCTTAAATAATCAATTTTAAGGATTTATTCCTACAAATAAGAAATGAAATACTTACCTTTACTTTAAACTTACCAGTCATTAAGCTGAATATATTTACTTAAGCCCATAAATTACATATACGACACGATGGCCAATGCCAGCATATTTTGCATACACCCCAGGCATCTCTCGGTTAGAGGGTATTCCGCCAGGCCTGGGACTGAGTTAGGGGCGTTCATTGGAGCCCAGCCCTCGTGCTTTTCAATTTACAAAATACGCCTCCAGCCGCTTTTCACGCGTCGCGCACTCAAAAACAACCAAAAAAAAAAAACGAGAGGAAAAGCAGGAAAAATAAAATTTTTTTAAAAGTAAAGGAAAACACAAAGCGGAAAAGGGAGAGCAAAATAAAAAATGAAAATCAACAGAAAAGGAAAGTGGAAGCGAATGGCTTTGGCTCTTTGGAATTGGATTTCGATTGGCAAGAAATTATGTTTAAAAGACCACCAAACTTAAACATAACATGATAATTTAACTAAAATTTAAATTTATGTATAAAATATTATACATTTTATACCAAAATTGAGAGCCCAGCCCTGTAAAACTTTACCCAACTTTTGTGGCAAAACATTTTCCAACTACTAAACCAACTCAATTTCCGCCCTTCCACATCAAAAAAGTCACTTTTGGCATTTTGAATTTCTTGAAAGGGTTTCTTTTTATTCATAATTCATTACTTGGTTTACATTTAAACTATTTTACTTCATGTTGTTCTGTTTTCTTTTTTTTTTTTGTTTTAAGGGTAACCCAACGGAATCGCATTAATTTGCCCGTTGCTCTCAAGTACCTACAAATAATTCTCTACATCAAGTGCTTTCATTTTTCGGCCTTTTTTCTTCCTTTTAATTTAGGGACTCGTCTCCGCTTTTCTCGGTTTTATTTTCCACTTTTGGGTTTTCTCTTTCGATTCGTTAAATTTAAGCTTAATCTTAACTGTGCTCGTTTTCTTGCAACGCATCTCTATTTTTATTTTTATTTTTATTTTCTCCGCTCTGCCAATTTGCCGCAATCATTCGAAGTAATTTTCTCAAAATTTTCAAATGACGAATGCCCGCTTTTTCTTTTTTCCTTCCTTTTTGACTTACACAAATTGTATTTGACTATTTCCATACACCAAAAAAAAAACAACATCTATTTCATAGGTTCATAATTTATAGATAAATATTTAATTTGCATGGCGAATGCTGTTTTGGATTTTCATAGGCTTTTTCGGGAGAATTTAAAGGTTTTAAGGTTTTAAGGTTAAAGTTGTTTTTTTTCGTATTTTTTGAGTGGAAAGTGAAACCTTATTATTGAAATGAATGAAAAGCTAGTGAGATTTATTAAAAAGACATGAGGAAGGTCTTATTTAAAGGAACTAAATTTAAGATGTATTTATTTGGAAGCGAAATAATTTCTTAAAGTTTTTTGGTGGTGAAAATGTCTAACCAAATTCTTGTAGAAAAAAAAGCTGGAAAAACTAAGAAAAAGCAATCAGAAAACGCGACAAGTGCAAGGCTAGTGGGGGAATAATTGGCAACGAGGGCTTTCCACTCTCGATTCTTTTTCCCACAGCACTTTTCACACTTTCCCTTGTAGTTTTCCCCCTTGATTGAGAGCAGTGTGACCACATGTCGCTCGTAGGCAAAAGCAAACGGAAATCCAAAACAGACGCCTTATGTATACGTTTGTAAACACTTTTCTTTTAGAGTTTATCGTACTTTAGATTTGGCCTTTGCATTGCACACACTCCCTGCTTTTCCATCGGAATCTCCTCCAGCATTTTCAGTTTTGTTCTTACTTTTTCTTTCTTTCTTTTATCGCCACCTGACGAACTTCGCACTTTCTCCGGGCTGTAAAGTGTATCTGTATCTGTATCTGTTTTTGAGGGTGCGTATTTGTTTCTTTGTTTGCATTTTCATTCCATTTTCTTTTTTTTTTTGTTTTTTTGTTCCGGTGAAAAATTGACATATTTCGGTACTTGCAACTGGAGTTGAGTCGAGTTAAGTTGAGTTTTCTTTTGGGTTTCCGCTTGGATTTCCGGCATTTCTGCCGGAGACACAAGACTTTTGGGAAGCGGTAGCTCCGCAAACTTTTGGCCGGAATGTGGATATGGGTTTTTGGGGGGAAATCTTTTGAGCAGGAAATGGCCAGCGGGGCAAACCCAAAACACAACTGTTTCAATTTGCTTTGATTTTGAAGACCAAATACGTGGCTGCAGGGAGTGTAGTTCTTACTTTCTTTCGTTACGTTTTTTTTTTTTCTTTTTTTTTTTTTGGGTTTCTTTCTTATTTATGGATTAACAGTTGGTAACTGTTACGATTACGTTTACGGTTTACGGTTACTAGTGCGGATTACGGCTGCAGCAACGTGGCTCCTGGTATGTTTTTAGCCCAAGATCTTCTTGAAATAGCTAACCGTTTCCGGTTTGGTTAGCGAGCGTCGTCGATTTGGCTTGAATGGCGCCTCGGTCTCCTCGAGGAAATTGTGTCGCTTTGTGGCTGACTCGGCCTCCAAATGCCCCTCCTCGTCTTCGTCATCCTCCTCGGGGCTGCCCATTCCGTTGTTATCTACCTTGAAGGATCCTTGGTTCACTAGCGGATATCTATATTCCTTATTTGGATTGAGAACGATTTCTTTTGTTGTTGTTTCGACTGCCGGGGCTGATGATGTTGCTGCTGTGGCATTCAATTTGATTTCATTAGCTGCGGTTGGTCTTACAGCTGCAATAGTGGTTGTTGCTGCCACTGCTGCTGGAGATGCTGCTGCTGCTGGCGCTTCACTGGCAATTACCGTTGCTGCTGTTGTTGCTGATGTTGCTGCGGTGTCTTCAGCTACTTTCGCGCTTGTTGTCACCTCCACAACTGCACCTGTTGTCGCTGTCACGGTTGATGTTGCCACTGTGTCTGATGCTGCTGCTGTTGTTGGTCTTGCTGTTGTTGCTGTCGCTGTTGCTGCTTCTCCTGCTACTGGTCCTGTCAGCCCTTTCGATGACGTGACTGTTGATGGCTGCGTTTCCTCTTTAGTTGATGTTGGTGCTGCTGCTGCTGTTGTTGTTGATGTTGTTGCTGCCGTTGTCGTAGTGGTTGTTGTTGTTGCTGGTGTTGTTGTGGTTGCATGCTCGCTGGCATGTTTTGACGGCGGTACATAGTGCGACTTCACCAACAGCATTGGCGGTATAAAGCGAGTATTGTCGGCGGACTCATTCACGTGCGTTGCATGTTGCTGCTGCAACGTTGAGCCTTCGTGCAATATCTGTTGCTGGTGGTGCTGTTGCTGCTGCGAGGGATGAATTGGATGGGCCATGTTGTTGTTGTTGTTGTCCGTGGGAGTGACTCGGCTGGTTGATGGTGCCGCTGTTGTTGTTGTTGTTGTTGATGTGCTAGTTGGGGCAGCTGATGTTGCTGCTGTTGTTGTGGTGGCAATCGATTGAGTTTCTGCTGATGCCTTTGTTGTTCGTGGTGCAACCATTGTTGTTGGCTCCGGCTTTCTTGTTGTTGTTGTCGTCTCCTTCGGCCGGGGTGTAGTTGTTGTTGTTGTGGTGGTGGTTGTTATAGTGGTGGTTCTAATAGTTGTTGTTGGCCTTGTTGTTGCTGGCGCCTGCGAGCTTGTGGTGTCCACCGCTTTTGGTGTGGTTGGCATTTCAGTCGTTGCTGTTGCTGCCGATGTTGTTGTTGTTGTTGTTGATGGCGCTATTGTTGTTGCTGTTGCCGGTGCAGCCAAGGTTGTTGTCTTCAGCGTTGTAGTTGTCGTTAAAAGCGGTTCTGCCTCAACAATGGGCGACATTGTGCGCAAATCTTGCGGCAGGATCTTCTTCTTGTGCGGCAAGTGTTCGAATATCTCATTGGAGGCATCGCTATTGCTGTCATCCTCGTTGAGTGGCATTCGTATGCCCAATCCCATACCCATTCCCGGTGGCAATTGCTCCTCACTAAGTGCCGGCTGGTCGCCCATCATCATCTCCTCCTCATGCTGATGTACCAACGATTTGCGCGACTTCTGTTGCTGTTGCTGCTGCTGGTTGTGTTGCTGTTGCTGCTGGTGGCTTCCCTGCAACTTTTTGGCAAAGTCTGGTGTAATCACCTTCTTGGCCGCCTTCTTCACTGGCTTGGGTACTAAATCCGGTATGCGATAGAGTCCAGAGAGAGATACGGAACCCGGTGCATCCGCCTGCATTAATTCACCCAAACCGGGAACGGAAACGGCAGGGACTGGCGGTGCCACCTCGATATTGATGGCCATACCAGATCGACGTCCGTAGTTGGGCAGCAGGTCAATGTCGTTGTTCTCCTTGTTGTCAGTGCGAATGTTATTGATGATCTGCAGTGACTTGAAGTGTGAGTTGGTGATGTCGTTAATGCGCTGCGCCTCCAGACGTTCCTTGGGGCAGATCAGTTGTCGGATGGCACGCTCACGATCCTAAACATAGAAAAGTCAAGGAGAAAAGGAATGGCAAGTAAAAGTGTTAGGATGCTTTCACCATATCCCAACTAAACCAAATCATAAGCAGTTTCCTATTCCCAACTTACCTCCTTGCCCTTGCAGGTGTGTCGCAGCAGGCCCTCCTCCTGGCAATTGCGGATCAGCTCAATGCTGGCGGTATCCGCCATGTACTGCATGGTCAAATTGGGCATGTCCTTTAGGATACAAGCATCCGCCCAGCTGGGGACTGCACGGTGCAGAGTAGGTAGGAGTACAAATGGTCCAGAGATCAATTAGCCAAAGCTGAAAACCCAACCAGAAATCTCAACTTACCTGGCATTTCGCAGAGGAACGATGCTGTTTCGGGTCCTCCGCAACGAAGGGCATGCCAACGGTAATCACGAATGGGATCGATTACAGCACAGAGTGGAGCATCCATTAAGGGAAGGGACTCGGCCCAGTATCCAGTATCCGCCACCAATGGACGAGAGTTCCTAATCACATCAAGATAAATCCATATAAGTTTGAGGGAGGGTTTTTATGTCCCTAGGGGTTTCTTCTATAATTTAGTACTGGAAATTATTAAAAGCAACAACTATAGCTAACTACAAGTTAAATCTTTTGAAACTTCGGTAACTAAATATTCAATTTTTCCCATTTATTTTGTCACTCTCCTTTTAAGTATAATATAACGCTGTCTGGATTATGTTACGTATGTCATGTTAGGTTTTTTGACATTTGAGAGCACTTATTTTACATTATGTTGTGATTTTTGTTAAATAATTTTAATAATTTTATTGTGCATATTATGAAAACTGATATCCTGCTCTATTTCTTTGTTACTACCTTGTCTTTTAAAAATTTCGAATTTAATTGGCTGAAAGTCAAAGTTATGAGAACCGGCATATCCGGCAGCCATCCCATTATTACTTTATTTGCTATCCCTTCTTGATTTCACTTAGTGTATCATGTGTGCTTTTGAGTGGAGGACTCCTTTTCACTATTTTCCCCTGTTTTTTTTTTTTTTTGCTTTTTAGCAGTCGGGGATTTGCTGGACTCCGATCTATTCCTAAATGGAGGACCACTCTATACACATGTCGGCCCCAACAGGACAATTGTCACACAATCCCTTTCGGCTGCATCCCTATATCCTGTATCTGTATCCTGGTATCCCTGTTTACCCTGCCTCCCTGCTTCCCTGCTATCCCCCCGCACTATGGTCTGCTTTTGTTGCTGGTGTTGATGTTGATGTTTCAGTTGCTATTGTTGTACTTACGACCACATAAAACGATCCGAGTTCTGCGGTCGCATGAGACCAATCCAAACGATGTCGTTCACATCCAATTCCCTCAGCAGGTCGCGCGTTGCATCGAATTGAAAACTGTTGTCGACTGTAAGGACATCTCACACACAGGGACACACACGTACACACACAAACACACATAGGACATTTGGAAAAACAAGAAGGAGAAAAAAAAGGATGAGCCGAGAGAATAGTTCAAATGAAAACGAGACGACAAATGGTTTTTATTTGTTCTACACAGAGTATTTCTATTAAATTCGCCTCGTCTATTGTTGTTTTGTTTTTAGTCCTGTGTTGTTTTTTTTTGTTTATTTTTAGTTTTTTTTTTTGTTTCTATTGAGTTTTTTGGCAGTTGGGTAAGCCATCAGCTCGATGTTACCCTCCAGTGACAACACAAATTGTTAACAAAACGCTGTTGAAAATTATTTTTGTTTCCATTTTTCCTGCTGCTGTTCTCGTGTTTGCGATTCTTATTTGGCCATTGTTTGTTTGTGTTGCCCCTGCTGTCATACACACACACACACACACAGACATATACACGTCGTAACATTTGCATATGTTGCCAAAAAGAAGTGTGCCATGTCAACAAATTGACCCTTGACCCGAAAAACCTCTAACTGCTCTCGCTAAATATTGGTGAACATATCAACAAAGCCATGTCCTTCATCAAAAATTATAATAGAAAGTTAATTCTTTGAGGACAAATAATAATGGGAAAGAAGTTTTAGTTTAGGGATTTCTCTCAAATTTTTACATCTGATTTCCCCCCAGTAAAGATCAGTGGAAACTTTCGTATGCAGTTATATATATATATTTCCATATATTGGCAACTTTCTGGCACACTATTGAGTCGGTTGTTTTGGGTCATTTGAGCGACCGGGTGATTGTGATTTAAATGCAACGAACTGTTGGCCATCTTTATCTGGCTACTGTGACCCCAATCTCGACCTGGTACTGTTTCGGAGAACAACCAGCCACCCAACCCCAACCCCCCTGTTTGAATCCCTCTAACTCACGGCACTGCAGCGACAGCATTTGTCAGGAGGATTTATTGTATTATGAGGTCGGTTCGTTGGTTTGGTTTGGTTTTGTTTGGTTTTTGGGTAGAACGGGGCGAAGGGAAAGAATGCAAAAGGAGCAAAAGCAATGCGGTAAACGAGAGGAAAGAGGGCAGAAAATGCAGAGGCAGAGGTTGATTCTACGGCAAAGCTTTTGGGGTCTGGCCACATAAAAGACTCGACTGTGGCTGCGTCACTTTGCTGTCATTTCATTCATTTGCGAACCACAATGGCAATGTCCCTTTGGCATCTGTCTTTTGCACCCCCTGCAACTCGTTTCGTTTCTATTCCGAGTCCCAGATGCATTCGTTGCTAGGTGACACCCGTTGGCCGGACATCACTAAGGATGGCAGTCCACGTAGTGACGAAGTGCAATCGGTAAAATCTGCGCTGTCGACTATTATGTATTGAAATGAAAATCTATCTATCATTCGGCAAGAAGTAGAAAGATTTTACTAAAGGTTTATCAATTATATAAATTTATTGTGCTAAAATATTAGAAAAGCTAGTTATTGGAATGTTAATAAGTGTTTGATCGAAAATATAATATAAATAAGAAAGTTTTGCATGTGAAAAGTACGATCGTGTTGACTTTTTACCCGCCATCTCTGACTAGGTTTCTTATCTTGTCCCACAGCACTAGGCTTATTTGCCTTTTTGCTTACATTCCTACCATTAAACAGGGTTCTTTATCTCTCCCTTTTTCTGTGGCTTTTCCTACCTTCGACCTTCTTCTTTAGGTGGATTTTGGCTTACCCGTCACAAGATTGGCATGATGAAATTGACAGACGGCATCGGCTTCGAACCAGGATATGCGATCGCGGAAGAAGCGATAGAAGACATTCAGTCCCTCCTGCGGCATCGTCCAGGTGTTGCTCACGTTTACCTGTGAAAACAGAAAACGGAAAAAGAGTTCATTTCGGTTTATTTGTATGCGAGCGGCGAATGGCGCGTATACGTTATGCATTAAGCATACGCCGTGTGGCCCGTAAAGCGTTTACATTTTTAATGCCCAAAGGGGGGAGTGACGAGGGCGGATGCGGGGGGCGGTGTCAATGTTGTTGGGTAGGTAGAGCTCTACGACATTAAAAATACATACAACACACGCGCACATTTGCTTAGTGCGGGTAGTGTGAGGCGAGAGGCGGATGGTTACTGGATGTAAAATCTGCTTTGAAGCCTGTCCCCATATATTTCATTAGGACAAAACTGAGCCAAAGGGGGGTCGGGGGTCGCAACAGCTGCCACAAAAAGCTGGAAAGCACCACCACCTTCTCGACTCCTCCACTCCTCCTCGAGAGATTCCAAAAATGTTCTTTGTAGCATGCCGCGTGCTGAGACCGAGGAACCAAACGCCAGGGGAACCAACTTGGGTACTCCAGTTTCATCTCAACAGCTCCACTGTTCCACACAGCTCCATGCCCATCTCCAACGCCATCTGTATAGCCATCTCCATCTCTATCTCACAGAGTGGAGTGACAGGCCTCGCTCTTCTACATTAACTAATTAGGAGCAGAGGCCCGGGGACGACGGTGCATAAATATCCGGCGCACACTCGACTACAAAAACGGGTATTTGTATGCATGTGTGTAGTGTAGTATTCGCATAAGGACGAGCAGCGCAAAGCTGATGACAAAGTGCGGCCAAAAGAAGGTGGCATTACGGTGGGCTTAACAACACACTCTTGTCAAACGGAAATTTAAATAGCTGATTTCCGTTAGCCTGTCATATATACCCGCATATATATACATACAAAATGCGTTCTAAATGAGTTTATGAAACATTTTTAATAGGCTTATAACAAAAAAAACTATAAAGAAGGCTATTTGAATTTATAAGCTTTTTATGTCCCTTAAGCAGATTTAATGGTCAACCATTTAGCTTTATTTTTATTTTCTGTTTATAAATATTTACTAAAATGTCTGCAACTGAAAGGATAAGGAATAAGATAAGATAGATGTTCCTTCATTATATAAGCGAAAAATCAGGAAACCGATTTTTAACAGAAATTTTCAACAATATTTTCGGGGTTTTAGCTCTAGCTCGGTCAAAACAGGACGCACAGCCAAAGGAACGACTGTTTTGTGCTGCTAACGACCAACACTTACTTCCCCTATCACTCGTTTTTCGATTTTGAGGAAATCAATTTTGACCCAAATTTCGCATTTTTGATAAGGGGTACCATCATCAAAATTTTCAAAAATGGGCCAAAATGAAGTTTCCCAGATTTGCATGCAAACCAATTGGGAATCATAGCAAGCAAATTACGAGTCCTACGAGGTATTACACTCCTCATTTGGACCATTTTTGGCTGCGCTATGGCCCAAAAACTGATTTTTTGTGCCCAAAATCACGTATACGTCGGTTGACAGCAAAGAGCACGGCCTTGTTGCAGTTTCTTAGCTCTAACTTTGTCAAAACAAGACGCACTGCTGAAACAGTGACTGTTTTATGCAGCTTACTTCCGAAACTTAACAGCCCTATACTTGCTTTTTGCGTTATTGGTCTGGTTTGTTCCTGCGAAGGCTGATTTAATAGCCAAAAAAGCAGAAAGTCTATTTTTAACAGAAATTTGCAATACTATGTTCGGGTGTTTAGCTCTAGCTCGGTCAAAACAAGGCGCACAGCCAAAAGAACGACCGTTTTGTGCTGCTAACGACCAACACTTACTACCCCTATCACTCGTTTATCGATTTTGGGAAAGTCAATTTTGACCCAAATTTCGCATTTTTGATAAGGGGTACCATCATCAAAATTTTCAAAAATGGGCCCAAAATGAAGTTTCCCAGATTTTAATGCTAACCAATTGGGAATCATAGCAATCAAATTACGAGACCTACGAGGTATTACATTCCTCATTTGGACCATTTTTGGCTTAGATATGGGCATAATACTGCCAAAAATGGCCTAAAAACAAGATATTTAGCTGTGAAAGCAGTTTTGTTGGAAATTTGATAAAGCGTAACACATAAGCATTATAAAGTGCTTCCAGCAATATTTGTCAGCATATCCGTAACCATAGGCAACAACCAAAGTAGACTGTTGCCGATATTTTTTATTCTTAAACCAATCGAAGTAGGTGTAGCTTATATTATAAATTTTGAAGCTGTCAAATCGCCGCCGACGGTGGTGTAGGGGGTTAAGCCGACTCCCAAAATAGAAATTTCCCCCCGTCGGCCTGAGTTCGAGTCCCGGTAAAGATCTAAGAGCAAGGTTACACTCATATAGGAGGTTTTACAATAACTAGGATTAAGCATAAAGTAAAAAAAGAAGATAGTATGATCTCTGGACTCTCTGGGTAATTGGTATGCCAAATTAAAGATAAATAAAAATCAAAATTAAAAATTGCTGTATTTGGAACTGAAAATGTAACTCAAATTTGTGAAGTGGAATAAAAATATATTTTGTTTGTTTAAACAGCAGGACTAAGGATATATTTTGTGCAATAATTTGCTTTCAATTAACAACGTTATATGTGTTTGAGACTAACAAATGTACACTCTTTGATGCATTACAAAGGGATAAATCAACATTTGCATAATTAAAGCACTTCCCTTGTACCTTTTTAGCTGTGGAAAAAAATTTCAGTTAATTGCGATTCCTAGTAGGGTTTTCAATTAAAGGTTTTCCGGCAACTGAATTTAGCTCTTACCTTTTTTGCTCATCAAATGTTCATCGTAAACGTGCCAAAGCATGTATTTTTTCCCTCTTTCTTCCCCAAAACTAATTAAATTTGTTTTGTGAATATTGCTTAGCAACTTTTTGTTAAAGAAAATTCTTGTGGCCAAAATCCAGAGGAATTAAGAAGAGTCAAAAGGAATGCTGGCTATAAATTTGGCAATTTTTATTTCAACTTTTCTGTGCTCCCTGTTTCCGATCTGGGGCACAACAGAAAAAAAAACACAGTAACACCCCGAATATGCTGGGTGTGGCAGGCATTTCATTAACTTAATTAACATTTAATTGAAAAATAAAAAAAAAAGTAAAGAGCAACTTCTTGGCCATTGTGATGCGGGTAGAAACTCGGCGAAGGGAGGCTCTTTCATCTCTCCAGCGCGAAAAAATTCCATCAACAAGGAAATGAAATAAAATCGCGGATATGGCTCTTTCAAAAGGAAATCGGGAAGGGAATACCGGTAATATATACAGCCTTATATATACCTAAACATTTATATAACCAGGAAAGTGAAGGCAACACTTGGCGCTGGGATAAGTCACTTATCAGTCGATTAACTTTGTTTTTATATCCCCAAAAGTGATTCATCTCTTTATTCTGCCTTTTTGTCGCCTAACGAATTTGCTCACTTACAAAATATCAATTTGATTTACCCACAGAAATCGCAGTTATTATGCATAAATAAATACATTAATGGGCACATATATATATATTTATATTAATATTTATGACTGTTAATATCTTGATGGCCAATTGCTATAGCTTTTTAAGGGCTCGACTGCAAATTATTCAATTTCAACTCAAAGTGGCAGCTAACGCATTAACACATATGTCGGTGTAAAAGTGTTTGCTGGAATTATTAATTATGCAATCGAAATTGCTGCTGCAGCGGTAATTATTCAATTATTAACATGCAAAATATTTAAGTTCCTTGCTAGACACATACTAACAAAAAACTATATAATCGAAAATACATACAAAACATATATATAATTGATCAACAAATGCGCCTCATTAAAGTTACTCTAGGGAACTGCCACATCAGCGGTATAAAGACAGTGCCACCAGCAATATTTGTCATCATATCAATAAGAACACTTGAAGAAAAGAGAAGTGTGTTGAAAGTAAAAATGGTGTCCTCAATGTCTTTATTTTTAACATAACTTAGTAAAGTATTGAAGAAAATTTCTTTTTTCCATTCTGGGAGTTCATTCTTTCATATTGCATAGAATAGGCAAATTTGAGTTCTTCTCAGTTCTCGCTGTGTTGCAAAGCATATGCCCCATTAGTAAGCATTTGAGACACAAAATGGTGCAGCAACATAAGCTGCTGAATTGCAGCAATATTCGCAGCTGTTTCTGCACTAATAAGACTAGCAATTTAGTAACGATATCAGCAATTGTTGCACCAGTAATAGCACGAGAAAAAGTGCAGCATAATCATCTTAAAGTATTACACAATCAATGATGTTAGCATTGGAAAATCAGAAGGTACTTTCGAGGGGAGAATGCAGAGGGAAAAGGATATATTATTTATATATTGGCAACAGCTTAGGTGGAGCTTTAAAAGCAGTGAAGTTACCAAAGTGCTGTTTGCCTTGAAGTCGCCATATTTTGTATTTTCTATTTTGCTGTAAAAATCATAAAAATAAGACCAATTTTTGGGGAACGCCAGAAAAACATATTAGAAAATGCAGCCAGCACTAAAGCCGAGCATGTGCATCTGCAACTGCAGCAGATGTTTCTCTTGCCGCCGTTTGTTGACTCTTATATATGTTTATTTTTTTTTATATTTTATTTTCTATATTTTTGCTCTTCTTTTGCTTTTCGGAGACTCCGTAGCAAGTTGCTGTGCAAACAATCCCATGGTTGCCACTTCTTTTGCGGCGCCTCTTGCTGATGTTGCTGCTGTTGTTCATGGCAATGTTGCGCTGATGTTGTTGATGTTGCTGCTGCTGCTGCTGCTGCTGCTGTTGTTTGTCTGCTGTTTTCCCCCTAGTTATGCTTTGTTTGTAATTATGATGAAGACATCCTGTGGATGTGCGGGGGAGACGTGAGTACAAATTAAACAAAAGAATAAGTGAAATCACAAAGCGCTGCAAAAGACTTCTTTGTGCTTGTATAATTTTTGTATTTGCATTTTATGAACGAAGTGAGACAGAGATAGAAAGAGAGAGAGAGAGAGAGAGAGAGAGCAAGCAGGATGGCCAA